CCAAATGGTCCAAAATTGGGAGTCCGAAACTGTCCATTAAAAGTTTTAACGTCCATAAAACATATTTCTCTGAAAATCTTTTAGTTGAACTTTAAATTTGCAATTTGAAATTGTAGTTAGAAAATTACTTGTCCAGAGTAATGACATTTTGTACTGCGAACTGAAAACCATACGGATCACGTCCTGCCGCGACCTCAGCCGGTAGCTGACCTTGCGCGAGGTGCGTCAGTTCCACGTGTTTTTTTCGACACAAAACTATTGTGAGTTGCCCGAAGAGTCGAGCGAATTTGCCCCCTGATTTTGTGGCTCCGTCTGTGAACCAGGAGCGTGTCACTTTGCGATTTCCTGAGGAATGTACTGGTAGTTAAGGATTTTGTTCGTGATTTTTTGTGGCGCCAATTACACATATATTGTATTTGCCCTAGGTGCTTGTACTGAGATGATTTGGACCACGAGCTCTTGGCATATCCTTAGGAGGCAAGCGTCTTATCCTTCAGTTTGTATGATGCAGCAAAAAAAGTCGCAAAAGTTGCAGGATGAGAGGAAGGTGCTCGCTGGGGGTGCTATAAATACCAAGGCAAGTAGATTTAAATTCTGATATACCATCGAAGTGCAGAAAATTAGACAATACTCTCGGCAGCTTCACTGTCGAGAACATTGTCGTATCGAGAGCATTATATCATATCAATAACGACCGGGAGCATTTTGAGTGACATTGGGGACTGCGGTTGAGCCTACAAGATAACACCGTTTGTTTGTGCACAAATTGAGCAGTAAACGTGCGGCACGGGAGTCCGTAACGATTTCAGCTGCTGGAATGCAGTATTTAGGACACCTTTTATTTAGCTTCGATCGCCATGAAACCTTCGCTATTCGATATGAAATAGTTGCTTTCTTATCTCGGCTCCAAAAGTGGGGGACCCTAGGTCACAGCGAAGCTGAACAATATCGCCACATTTCAAGATTGTTGCTTGAGTGTATCATTTAGTCTTTACCACCTGCTCAGCTGATGAGGTTGTATGGCATACAGACAATAGATTTGTCAGATCCGACCGATCAAATCTCCACCAAAATAGGGGTAGCTCAGGTCAGTGTCGTCTGTTTCGCCACGTTCCAAAATATTTGCTTGCAGACAGCTCAGCTCGTGTGCTGTCCGCACGGATGATTTCTTAGAACTGAGTTGTCTGCAAGCAAGACTTTTGAAATTGGGCGAAGTTGGCGTCTTTGATTGGACCTAGGATCACCATTTTCGGAAGTGCTAGAGGGTCTCAACCATTAGGCATCGAATGGTGGAGGCGGCGCGGCGATCTGTCTGCATGGCGACCTGCGTTGTGTAGAGTTCTCTCGGTTCTCATTTTATGGTGACCTCTTATTAGTTCACATGCGGTGTTCGTGGATATCGAACAAATGTGAGTACACGTCTTTTGTGCAGTCCTCCATTTGCATTTCATCATGTGGAATCACGAGATATGGAACGTCGTTTGGAACTCATGTCAGTTTGCTGATTGTTTTCTCTCCTCGTTGGTTTTCAAGCGTGTGCGCATGTGTTTTATCAGCTGACTGCTGCTCCGGCCACGTGATCAGGTGTCAGGGGATGTTTGTGTGGGCTGACCGCTTGCTTCGGCCGCGTGGTCAGGCGTCAGAGGATATTTGTGTCGGCTGACCGCTGCTCCGGCCGCGTGATCAGGCTTCAGAGGATGTTTGTGTGGGCTGTCCGCTGCTCCAGCCGCGTGATCAGGCGTCAGAGGATATTTGTGTCGGCTGACCGCTGCTCCGGCCGCGTGATCAGGCGTCAGAGGATGTTTGTGTCGGCTGTTGGCCCCGGCCGCGTGATCAGGCGTCAGAGGATGTTTGTGTGGGCTGATCGCTGCTTCGGCCGCGTGATCAGGTGTCGGAGGATGTTTGTGTCGGCTGTGGGGCTCCGGTCGCGTAATCAGGCGTTAGAGGATGTTTGTGTGGGCTGATCGCTGCTTCGGCTGTGTGATCAGGCGTCACAGGATGTTTGTGTGGGCTGTCCGCTGCTCCGGCCGCGTGATCAGGCGTCAGATGATATTTGTGTCGGCTGACCGGTGCTCCGGCCGCGTGGTCAGGCGTCAGAGGATATTTGTGTCGGCTGACAGCTGCTTTGAACCGCGTGGTCAGGCGTCAGAGAATGTTCGTGTCGGCTGACTGTTGCTCCGGCCGCGTGATCAGGCGTCAGAGGATGTTTGTGTCGGCTGAGCGCTGCTCCCACCGCGCCGGTCAGGCGTCAGAGGATGTTTGTGTCGGCTGACCGCTGCTCCCACCGCGCGGTCAGGCGTCAGAGGATGGCTGAGCCTGCCGGCGACTGGGACAGCACGGACGAGTTTGTGATCCTGACCGAGACGAGCGACGCCGACCCGCGGCTCAGCCTGCCCGGCGCCCGGCGGACTGCCACAGCTCATGGACGACCTGCACGACTGCATTGCCGACGCCGAGGCCGTCGTGGCGTCCGACAGCGGCGCTGGCGGCGACGGCTGCCCGGCGCAGACCCCCGCCGCCGCCCCCGCCGCCCCCCGCCGCCCCCGCCGCCCCCACCGCCCCCGCCACAGCCGGCCCCGCCACAACCGCCCCTCGCCCCAGCTGCCACGGACGACGGACGACAAGCCGAGTGATGGTACGACGGCGGCCGGCGCCTGCGGTCGCTAGGACCACAGCGACACGGGCTGCATGGCCCTTCGCCTTGTGCTGTATTGTGGCGTAATGCACAGCATTGAGGATTTATATAGTGTGCTAACTCATGTGGTCCGCCTGCAATAGTGGGTCGATGCCGGTGTGGTGTCGATACATTAGCGGTAGGGCATATGGTGTGGCAGGCGTGGCATATTGTACTAGGATCTATTAGGCGTGTCCATAGCAACCATGGCCGTACTGAATCCGGCTGGTATGCAGATGAAGGCTGGTCATGCGCCGGTCGTCGTGGCCGGCCCTGTGCGGTGTGCTCACACCACGGCCAGGCCCCGCTGCCGGGCCGGTGACGGCGCCGCGGCTCGCTGTGAGACGGGCGCGGCCAGTGACGCTGGCCGGTGCCGCTCCGGCAGCACTGACCGGCTCCAGCGCGTCCGAGGGGCGCCGCCGACGCCGGCAACGACCACGCCATGTTCCACCGTGTGTTCTACCTGGGCGCGGCGTCCATCAACGCGCCGCGCAGCGAGCCCGAGATCCAGCGCAACATGGCCATCCTGAACGCGGAGGAGGCCGGCCGCCAGGCCATCCCCGTGTGCGTGGCCGTGCCCACCACGCCGCAGGGCTGCGTCGTGTGAGTGGCCGTCGTCCCGCGCGGCGTGTGGTGGCGGCGTGAGGCGCCTGCTATCAGTGTTGTTGTTTGTCGGGCTTCCCGGGCGGCCATTGCTAATCGGTCAAGTCGCCTCGGTGCGTGGTGGCTGTTGGCCTGTTCGTGGCTTGAGTTGTGGGTCGCTCAGCTCTCAAAGTTTCCCACCCCTCCCCCACCCCACTCGCACCCCGATTTTCCGCCAGTGCCCTGCGATTTTCGGAACGATGGTTTTGATTTTGCGCTATAAAATTTAAAAACCGCTGGTTATGAAGACAAAGCTATTATCAGATATGCATGTTGAGCTCATGATTTATTCAGACGCAGGAGGCTTTTTCTTGACTTGTGTGCAAAATAGGAGTTTGAAATACAGCGCTTTCTAGCGCAAGAGCGTGATCAGCACGGCTATCTCAGTTGACCACCGCGTGCAGTGTTGACGTGCGAGGTCGGCGTGTCGGCAGGGTGTACGAGGAGGAGACGGGAGACGGTGATGACCAGCTTCCCCGTCTACCGGATCCTGTTCTGCGCCGTGGTCAGGCGGGCGGCCCCGAGGAGCAGTGCTTCGGCTTCACCTGCTCACGCGGCGACGCCGAAGAGACGGCCATCTTCCAGTGTCACGTCTTCAAGTGCGCTGCCGCCCGTGCGGTGAGCTCCTGCGTCGGGCGGTGCGGCCGGCGGCGCCGGCCCCGGAGCCGCCGGCCTCGGTCGCCGCCGCTCCTGCGCGCCAGGCTGGCCAAAAGCGCTCCCAATGTCAACAGCTCGGTGCGGAGCTCCCGCCTGCAGCGTGGTGATATGATGTGGATTGTGTGTCCATGGCCCGCGCCTTTTCCTTCGATAAGCGGTAAACGTGTGATTGGATGGAACCGTATCTCTTTGCACAAGGACGCCCCCTTACCCTATCTCATTGGCTGTCGCGCTTGCATGTGGGACGCCGCAGCGTGCTGTATTTGGTCACCTCGCCCGCCCTCGGCAAGCCATGGGACTGTGTTAGGCATCACTCACGCCGCACAGGCGGCTTGCCGGCGGTGGGTGCGGGCGCGCCAGCCGCAGGTATGCCTCCGCCGGACAGCGGGTGACGCCGGGCCGCGCTCCGCGCCCCCAGTCCGGTCGGGTGTTGGGCTGCTTCGCGCGCGCCTTCAGGAAGCAGTCGGCGGAGGGGGCGGCTGAGGACGGCGTGGACGTGGCGCCGCGCACCTGTCGCTACGACTTCGAGCTGTCCGTTGAGATGCAGGAGGAGGACGCCAAGGTGAGCGCGCCGCCGGTCGCCGCCAGGGCAGAGGCGGCCCGGTGCGCCTCCCAGCGGGGCGGGCCGCCGCCTGGCGGGGTCGGGGACACGCGGCGACGCAGGCAAGGCTCGGGACGCGCCCCTGGCAGCCAGTGTCGTATATGTCAGCTTAAAGCGCATATTGTGAAGGAACAGCATGCGGATGCACGTATCTCTGCAGCCAGTTGCCTCTGGTTTTCAGAGGTACAGAGGGTGATGTATTATTTCGGTAGCCGCGCCGTTGCAGTTATCATATATCTTGATTCCTGGTCAAGGGGCTTTGTGCCATCTGGTCGAAGCATCATGCCGAGATTCATGCTGTATTTCAGCATCTTGTGAAAAGATGCCGCGTGGTAGGGAAGCCTTCAGCTTTGCCTCATGGCACCTTGTAGATTTTTCTTCCATGCTACATGTTGGCGATTTTGACATGGAAAACATGTATGCTGTGTTTTATCTTTATAAATATTGTGATCTCGCCCTTATCCAGCTAATAAGAAACGAATTTATATTCTTAAAACTTGTTTTGAACAGATATAATATCCAGGTCATCATCCGATGCGCATCACAGACACAACCTCCCACCCCAGTCCGGCCCCCTCGCAACGACGTCACGCCGGTCCTATCGGCGCTCAGGGCGTGTACGCGGCCATCCCGCGCGACAAGGGCGGCTTCAAGCTGCGCTGCAACACGCAGCGCAAGGTGCTGGTGTCGGTGCGGCAGACGAGCGACCTGCTGCCGCCGCTCACCGTCGAGCGCTGCTTCGGCCTGCTGGTGGCGCCCGGCAAGAACGTCAAACACGGCGACATGACGCTACTGGAGATGGTCAGTGGCGCCGGACGGGTCGCGGGTCGCGGGTCGCGGCGCGATGGCGATGTGGGCTGACCTGCTGCCGGGCAGGTGCGGTCGCGTAATTTTATGGGAAGATCGACTGATGAGGTGATGATTTATTGGGTGAGATACAGGTATGCTGCTTGACTTGATGTGGTGGCTGGCATGTGTGCGTGCTGCTTGATGACATCTTCATATTCTTCATCATCATCGTCATTATCATCGCATTATCATCAGCATTAGTATTATTGTTGTTATCATTTTTACGATATTATTAGTATGACTATTACTATTACTAGTATGATTATTGTTATTATTATTTGTATTGCTGTTATCGTCATTATGATTACTCTGAGTGGTATCAATAGTATTGCTATTTTTATTATTATCACACTCATGGCCATCATCATCTTCCGGCGGTGGGACACTCATGTGTGCCGCTGTGCGCCTGGCTGACCGGTGCGAGCGTGTTGCCCGGCCCGACACGCTGGTGACCCGGCCCGGGCCGTGTCTGCTCCGCCAGCCCTCCATGGGCAGCGTGGTGGGTGATCGGCACTGCTACAGCGTGGTGGGCCTATGGGACGCAGGCGACCCGAACCTGACGCTGCTCAACCAGGAGACGCCCAAGGATCTGCCGCTCGTGATGTCGATCGGCGTCGACCTGGTCATTGGTGGGTGATATGCTGACCCGGTCAGGGTGGGTTGGGTGACCTGGTCATTGGTGGGTGGCACATGCTGACCTCGGGTCAGGGTGGGTGTGGGTGACCTGGTCATTGGTGGGTGATACATGCTGACCTCGGGTCAGGGTGGGTGTGGGTGACCTGGTCATTGGTGGGTGATACATGCTGACCTCGGGTCAGGGTGGGTGTGGGTGACCTGGTCATTGGTGGGTGATACATGCTGACCTCGGGTTAGGGTGGGTGTGGTACCTGGTCATTGGGGGTGATACATGCTGACCTCGGGGGGGTGGGTGTGGGTGACCTGGCATTGGTGGGTGATACATGCTGACCTCGGGTCAGGGTGGTGTGGGTGACCTGGTCATTGGTGGGTGATACATGCTGACCTCGGGTCAGGTGGGTGTGGGTGACCTGGTCATTGGTGGGTGGTACATGCTGACCTCGGGTCAGGGTGGGTGTAAGTAACCTGGCCATTAGGGGATGATACATGCTGACCTCGGGTCAGGGTGGGTGTGGTGACCTGGCCATTGGTGGGTGATACATGCTGACCTCGGGTCAGGGTGGGTGTGGGTAACTTGGTCATTGGTGGTAGCACGGGCATCATCCTAGTTCAGGATGGGTGTGGGTAACTTGGTCATTGGTGGTAGCACTGCACTTCCTAGGTCAGGCTGGGTGTGTTTGTGCGTGACACCATTATGGGGAGGAGCACTAAGTTTCCCTCTGTTGGTGGGGTTGTCAACTGACCTGCACGTTGCATGTGGGCTCCCGACGGATCCCTGCGCCTGGCGTTGAAGGTGCCCTATATTCTGCTTGTCGATTCTGCTTGGCAAATGTTGCATACATCAAATGAGAACAAAACAAACTGTCGAATGGTTTATTGAGACTATTGGCTTGCCGTTAGTGGTATTGTTCACGCAGCATTTCAGACAGTCACCTCCCCAGCCATCGTTTGGCGTTGGTTGGTTAGGTTCACTTATTCGGTGCGAAGCCATGCGCGTGCGTCAGCCGGCTGACCCGGGCTTCTAAGGAGAATATCTGGTGGTCGCTCTCAGGGCCACAATGCTCGACCACGACCGAGCGAGCGGTGAACCGAAGCGTCGTGTGAACAGCAACACTGCTGACGAGGACTGCAGTCCGAGCTTTCCTTACATGTGCCAACGCATATGAAAGTGTGTGTGAAGCGGTGACTCAGAACGTTATGTTGAGGCGCCGGCGATCAACATTTCACTTCGCCTCCCCCCCCCCCCCCCCCCGCCCTCTCCCCGTGTGTGGGGAGGGTTGATTCTGACGGCCGGTTCTGTTCTTACCAGAGGGCATCCACGAGCCGGTCAGGTTCCTCCTGGAGTCCCGGGTTCGGATCTACCCGCAGTCGGAGCGGTTTTGGTACTTCTCCACCAAAAAGCTTCTTCAGAAGTTCTCGCTGCTCGTTAAGAAGGCAAGCTTACGCCGTGGGGGTGACGGTGACCAGTGCGTTGGAGTATCGTTCATATGAGAAAACAGCGTACACGGACCACCGAAGTGTTTTTGAAAGCATTGCGAGACCCTGGGTTCGTACCGTATCTGCGTCGGTTTAACTTACGATGGCGCTAGAAAGCTCCTGAGGCTGTGCTACATGACACGTACAGCAGTGGACGTGATACTGGCGGCCACCCGTCGTGTGGCTTGTATGTCGGTGTTTGATGGCCACGCGATCACGCGAGCGTTTATTTCGAGACTCAAAAGGCGAATATTCCGCGTCGTTGTATTGTTTCATAAATGTGACGTGGTTGAGAAAACGGACGCACCATCGCTGCCACGCCTCTGACTTATCTCGCAGACTGGGGAGCAGCTGGAATTCGAGAGGCTGGAGAACCTGGGCGAGATGGAGACATCCAGGAACATGCTGCTGAGCCTGAACCTGGCGAGCCTGCCCGGACTTGCGGGGCGGTCTCCAAGCGTCACCAGTCCCGGGTCCGCCTGCCAGGAGGAGAGCGGTAAGTCGGCCGGGTCAGGAGGAGAGCGGTAAGTCGCCTGGCCAGGAGGAGAGCGGTAAGGTCGCCTGCCATGGACTGTATCCGACCACACGGTCCGTGCCTGGCCACGGGGGAGAGCGGTGAGTGGTCTGGGAGTGACTGTATACGATGTACGCGGGTCCATGGTCGGTCAGGAGGAGAGCGGTAAGTCGTCTGGCCGTGGACTGTATACGACGTACGCGGGTCCATGGTCGGCCCAGGAGGAGAGCGGAAAGTCGTCTGGCCATGGACTATACACGACGTAACACGGTCCATGGTCGGTCACAAGGGGAGTGGTACGTCGTCCAGTGTGCGGGGGTGGGGGGAGTGGGGAGTGATAAGCCGTCTGTTGCCCTGAAGCATTCATCGTGGTCAAATGAGCAATATCGGCTCTTCGTCCTCAAACTGTATAAGTAATTTGCTTAGGTGACGTGTGGGTAACAATTCCTCGCAAAATACAGCGTGATACGTGAACATTTCCCAGAAGAAGGACTGGGCCCCAATGCAAATGTAAACTCGGGTTGTGATTTGCGATAATTTTGGGTGGTTCAGGGAGGGCATCGATTTAAAAATCCACATATTTGCCACGCCCCTCGCCGAAACATTGCGATATGCTTACCAGCCTGTTGCCATACATTTGGTAGCAAACACGCAAACGTAACAGGCTAATCAGGGTGTGGCTGAGACGAATCCGGGATAGCTGAAGTCATGCTCATGGGGAGTTAAAGCAGAGAAGGCATGCCACTAAACATAAAAGCCTGGCGAAGATTGAGACAAGCAAATTGAAAAAGCGTCGCCAACAAGATCGCTCTGTACCTAACTGAAATCCAGCCCGGATGCAAGTCCAAGTGCCAGGTGCAATTCGCCTTGAATGATCTTAGTCCAGTAATGCATAGTGTGGGTCTTCTCCATATGGAATGATTGTTCTGCAGTTGCTTATAACATCGCGTGATTAGGGTCGCATGGAAACGGCCAGTGTCATCATTTCGTTTCTAGAACGCCGCTAGGTTTGCATGTGGTTTAAATGCGCGAGGGCTACAAAAAGCGGAACAGAAGGAAGGGAGAGTCACGAATTTGTTCACCAGGCTGTAAACACCCCGGCTGTTTACCCCGGCCGGGGGAAGAGGCAGACAAGAGAGTATCATGAAGCAAACGCGATGAGACGAAGGCCCCGTTGTCGCCGTCTTCACTCGCTCGCCGTACAACTACGGTCAGATCAGTCAGTGATAACCATTAATTTGTGTGCTTAATGGGCACCAACTCAGGTCATCCGAAGATATAAAAGTATGCTAGAAAAAGTGTATACACACTAGAGATCATGCAGCATTTATATAACTGAGGCGAAATATCTTTCTGTCGAAAGTCGAAACAATGTGCAATCGTCCATACAGCAGTTTTCGACAGGTAAGGATGTCGCCAGCTGTAGCGAACTGCAGAGCTCCCCTGTAACGATGTCGACCCTGGGGGAAGGGGGGGGGGGGGGCAATGGGAGCAGATGGACTCAGCGCGGTCCGCCATATTTGTACCCGCGGACTTCTGAGTGGAATTCCGGCTCGACGACCCGTACCTACACTTGGTGACTGAGGTTAGCAGCTTCGTAAAGCAAGCCGACTCTGCCCAGGGGTGACCAGTCTGACCCAGATGCTGTTTTGTCGCCGGATTTGGGCATTTCATTTTGCATTTGGAGAATATCAAAGTGTTGTTTGATAAATGCTTGCGTTTTTGTTGTTTTTTGTTTGTTGCAAGTTTGGTGTGTAAAATTAAGGGGTCCCTGTCACATCCAGGGGCTTATTTTTTAATCGGATTGGGGGGGAGGGTTCAGACTATCCCAACTGCATAGGATCTTACGCCATGTTTGTAGCCAATTCTCCTTACGTTGCGGCTATTGGTTAGCATGAGGGAGTGTCGCCGCGCGCGGAACTGCGAAAACTCCTTCGTGAACCGTTGTCACCTTCCTAGGCCACTTGTCAGACGTAGCCAAGGCTACACAAAATATCAGAGATGGTTTTCGCTTAAGTGCAGCACACCGCCGCACAGTGCCCTGGTGCGCTCAGTCCGCGAGGTGTAGGCCGCCTCGACTGCAGCTGCGCGTGAACGCCTGACCCGCCCGAACGCACGCCCGGTCCGCTGCGGGGCCTGCCGGATACAACGTGTTGTTTTCTATTCGGTTTCTGTTTTCTATTGCGTAAGCTGTTCTGTACGTTAGCGAGGGGCATTATTGACATGGTTAAGGCGGTAGTAATAGCCTTATTCACTGGAGAAAAAAAAACAGCAGGAGAATGGAGATATAGTTGGGCTGATATTTCGGCAACATGCCTTTATCGAAACAACAGCAGAAGTTGCACATTGCCAAAATATCAACTAAACTATATCTCCATTTTCCTATTTTGCTCTGAGGAATAAGGCTATTACTTCTGTCTTATCTGTGTTACTTTCGCGCTTAGTGTGTGTGTGTGTGTGTGTGTGCTGACAACACGCGTCCCCGTTACGTTGTTCTTACTGAGGCGAAACGCGCGACATGTGCAAACTCCCGTCTCCCACCGGTCACGTGTTTTTAAACACGCATGCCCCTGAAATACGGCCCATGCGGCTGGTCAGACGCGTTTCACAAACGCGAGTTGTGTTCTCATCGCCAGCCGGGCGCGCATCAGTCACTGCCAGACGGCGAATCGCCCGAGGCTGTGTACGTGCTGTCACTGTTTGCAGTGACTCCTGAGCAGCGCGGAACAATTGTCGCGCCTTGCGGCGGGTCGCGTCGTGGAATGTCGACTGGTGTCCCGACACCTAGCGCCTGGCGGCACCACTCGCCGGCGTGTCCGGCGGATTCTGTCGGCGGTGTGTTTGTCATCACCTGCGCTGCTGTTCATGGCTTCGTGTGCAAGCGAGCCACCCGGATGTCGGCACTTGGTGTCGATCGCTCCACAGGAGGGGGAATGCCCGCGTGACGGACGGGCTGTTGATAACATCGCCTTCAGGGCACGCCGACGACGCCAACACGACCGATACATTCCCGAGGTGTCCGAATGAGTAACAAACTAAGTGCTATGTGAGTGCTGCGCTCGAACGGGCCGCGTGGACGGGAGGATTTGTATGGGACATGTTACTACCTGAGCAGCTCAGTGTGCTGCTAGTGACGTGGGTCCAGCGAGAGGCCGTCCTGCGACACATTGATCGGTACGGGAGAGTCTGGCGTCGCCCGCCGTCCCCGTACGGGTCAGGTCATAAGCTCCCGGGCCGACGGCGTCACTAGCTGTACCGCTCTCAAGGCCGCTGCCGCTGGGTGCGGCACGCTGGGTGCCGTCACGTCCGAGCTGCTCGGTGCTGACTGCTCGCCGTGTCTGGCGAGCAGGCTGGTCTGCTGGCTGTGACCGGCAGCGGGCGCTCAACATGGTCCGACCCGACCCGGCGCGACCCGGTCCGGCCTGACCCGGCCCGACCCGACCCGGCCTGACCCGGTTCGGCCCGAACCGAACCGAGCCGAGCCGAGCCGAGCCTAGCCGAGCCGAGCCCCGAGCCGAGCCCCGAGCCGAGCCGAGCCGAGCCGAGCCGAGCCGAGCCGAGCCGAGCCGAGCCGAGCCGAGCCGAGCCGAGCCGAGCCGAGCCGAGCCGAGCCGAGCCGAGCCGAGCCGAGCCGAGCCGACCCGAGCCGACCCGACTCGGCCAGTGCTCCTCCCGACTCCGTGGCAACACGTGTTGTGCCGGTTCGCGGAAGGGGCCAATGATATTTGTTGCGACTGTCGCGTGCAACACCGCCGCCACTGCTGGACTGTTGATCACGGCGACGCCTCCGTCGCGCGTGGATCCATTGAGAAGGCAGCCGGTCGCCGCTGCGGGGTCTCATGCCAGCCGGGAGATTGAAAACACGCTTGCTGGCGGGTCGGAAGTGTGCGGCGCTACAAGTGAAGCCAGTTTAGCTGTGGTCTTGTCGCCCGGTGAGGGCGGCGCTCCGGTGTAATCACAGCAGCAAAACCCCGCATCTTGTGGCTGCTGTAGATTGGATCAGTTGAGATCAAACGGCTATGGTATTGGTGTTTGTGTTGTGCGCCCGCATACCACCTCTCGAATAGGTGCTGGCTTGGTAGACGGCGCGTGCGAGGATGGGTCGAGTTCGCAAGTTTTCCAGCAAAAGCTCCTCAGCGGCGACCTCTAGGACGAGGCTGAGGTGTGGTGAAAGTGGATGTTCCGCATTTGTTTGGGGTTTTGGATTGAGATAGCCATTTTGAAGATCACTCAGTATGGCCCACAAATACTTTGAACCCTCTTGTTTCTGGGCTGGATGCCCGCGAACCTGTGCGGACTTTTTCGTGCAGTCTATTTTAAAGGTCTCCCAGACATTCATGACGCCTTACAAACATCACGCAGATACTGCTACTGCATTTGTATTGGTGCCTGGCTTGCGTCAGCGCAATTCGTGAAATCAGTGGCCATAAATTGGCCGTCGACCATTTTAAGTACAAGTTTCGCCTTGAGTGGGAGTTAGAACGTAAGTCAGATTGTGTACTATATAAAACGGAAATTTGAGCGGTGGTACTAATTAAGGACGAAACGGGAAAGCGAATAACTTGGAAACAGCGCCACTAGTCGAGTATGTGCAAGAAGTTTAACAATATGAAATTACGGGCAAATATACAAGGAACACCACGAGAAAGGGGCAAAACACGCGCACGGAACGATATTGGGGTTTCGCAAACTCACGCCACCCTAACAGCTAGCACGCGCACCGGCAGTCATGCCGGTGAGCACGACGAACTACCGGGAAGAGAGATGTGCGCTCACACATTCACCTTTTCTATATGGCCATTTCTAAAAACCTGTTAAACGGCAGTCCTATGGGCAACAGTCAATTGAATGACTTAAGTGCCGATGGCAATTTCTGTGCATCATCCAGCGTTGTTATGAAGCGAAATATGAATGATGAGTTCGTGTTCGGCTAAGTTCACATTTTCTCGGGATTAAACAACTGCTCGTATGATCTTTGTCGTTTCTATTACCAACTTTTCAAGCCTGGTCTCACAGGATAGTTGATTGTACATCATATGCGACGATTTTTTGGTTGTTGATTTCTTCGTGGTGACACATGCTTATGAGGCATGGCTGCACGTCCTTTCCCTTTTCTTTCTATCCTCTCTGTGTGCGCTTCGGTGCAATCTCTCAGACGACTCGGTGCCGACCGTCTGCGTCGCCGCGCCTGTCCGAGCGCTGGCTCTCGTCCGCGTGGCTTAGTGGCGGCTCCGTTGCAGACAACGACGACCCGCTGCCGTCGGGCTCGGGCGAGGTCAGCAAGGACTGCGGCGAGGGCGAGCTAGCGCACTGGGGCGACGTCCTGGCCAAGTGGCGCCTCAACCTGGCGCAGCGGCCGCGCGGCCTCAGCGGTGCGTTCGGCGGCCGCCACGGCGCACGCGACCTCGCGCCGGACGCCCGTGACCTGCGCGTGAGGTGGCCGTTTGCCGACTTAATGAACACTACGAGAGTCATTGCCTTTGCAGTCGGCCATGTTTGCGGCGTGTCGGTGTGTAGAAGCACGGCTCATTTCTAGCTTATCTGGCCTAATATGTGCGGGTGTGCGCTGACCTGGCTCGACGTGTCGGACGTGCCCGGGTGTGGCCGACATGACCCAACGCGCTGCATGCGAGCCTGCCCCGACCGGGCGGCGCTGGTGCGAGCTGACCTCGGCTGATCCCGTGTCGGCAGGGCTGGTGAAGCGCGGCGTGCCGGAGGCGCTGCGCGGCGAGGTGTGGCAGCTGCTGGCCCGCTGTCACGAGGATCAGGACATGCTGGACACGTACAAGATGCTCATCACCAAGGTGGGCGGGCCGCCGGCCGGTCGCCATGGCGCAGCCGGGCGGCACAGGCGCCGCCCGCCGGCTGCAGACGCGACTAACTTCCACGGCAGCCGAGCTGGCGCGCGAAGAACGGGGATGCTGGCCGGTGCTGTATGCGCCAGCTGGGGTCACCACTGCCGTACTCGTTTGGATGCGACTTATTGGCTGCTATGTTTTCAATGTCACATTCACCTTGTTGCTGACATCTGGACGACCTGCGTCACCGCGAATTCGAGTTGCTGTTATGTACTTGTCGTTTGTGTGGAGTCTGAGGTTGAGCCAAGTTCATAAAGAACTGGTAAGATTCCTGTCTCCGGAACTTTCTCAGATGTGCTAACTAAGGTCTCTTGAAACTTGTCAACTGGGCTACTTCAAGACGTGCGCTGCGCGGTGCAAAACAGCAGATGATGGTTTACCGAAGGATTGATACGAGGTTTTAGTTTCACGAATGGACTATTTGTTCAGACTATCGTCCGTGTCCAATGTGATAGTGTGTAAACAGTGATTCGGCCAGATGATTTTTTGGTTATCGTCGGGCGTTATTGACTCCTGAGAATGACTGGGTAATGTTTGGCTTCCGGTCATGAATGTGCTACAGCTCCAATGCTGGCCTTGGAATGGCTGGGATTCCAGTCGTGGTCTGCTAATTGTGAGCCTGGCGCTCCGCCAACCGATTCCTTACCTGTTAGATCAGTTGGTACAGCGCTGAGTTTGTAACCAGAAGACTCTGGCTCGAGGTACAGCAGTTATACAGCAGGAGAGCAGGAGAGCGCTGTGTACAGCAGGAGAGAACCCGAGCTGTGACACATGCAGGGCTGAAGCCACACGCCATCCAGTCCTGCTCAGGACTCCTTAACGCCTGCCGACGGCCGGTTAATTAGTTGGCCGAGACATTGTGTGCATGCCTATTTACCAAACGAGTGCAAACAGTTCTTCCGTCCGGGGTTTCGCAGTACGTCAGATTCCCTTATCGCCACGTGCTCTAAACCGGCCAGCCCATCAGTTGTCATTGTCGATCAGCCAGAGCTCATATGTGCCTGCGGCGGGAGACGTTGTCTTTCGGCGGTTGGCAGCTTGGCGAGGATGTGACGACCGGCGACAGCTGTTTACTAAAGCCCCAGCGTCTGACGCGCGGGCCCGTGCCGGTGACCCCCAGGACTCCAGCTGGGAGACGGTCATCCAGAAGGACATCAACCGCACCTTCACCGGCCACGAGTACTTCCGCGAGGCCGGCGGCGTCGGCCAGGACTCGCTCTTCAAGATGTCCAAGGCGTACGCCGTGTACGACGCCGAGGTCGGCTACTGCCAGGGCCTCAGCTTCCTGGAGGCGGCGCTGCTTCTGCACGTGAGTTGGTCGTCGGACGCCGGCCGCTGCACACTCCGTGACCTGACACGCACTGGGGCAGCGCGCTGTCCCAGTGCCGGCTGGAGTCGCGCGCGGTAGCGATGTGCGGCCGCTGGCCGGCCGTGTGTAGGGCGATGTCTTCGTCAGCCGATCGGTTTGGTACAGGTAGTGGTTTGGGGGAACGAGCAGTTCTATGTATTCGGGGACTCCACATGTACTGACTGGCCGCGCGTCCCAGCCGTTTGAACCAACGCTTTCGCAGCCTTGGTGTTATCTCAGCAAATCACAAAGCTCTGTGTCATCTGGCCATCCGGAAAGCTGATCTGTATATTATTTTGCGTCGTGTTGGACGCACACTGAATCTAAGCTGCTGTGTTGATCGGGCCTGGCCGGCTGTCAACCTCCGGCGCCGGCGGCCTTCGTTACGCGGTCCGGTGACGGGTCCGGCTCTTCGTCCTGCTGTCGGCGGGATCCTGCCTTTCATCACGCCTCAGCGGCTGGCTCCGTTCGTCGGCGATGCGTGGCAGTCCCCGCCTTGCCGCCGTTTGGCGCCTTCCTTGCTCACGAGAGTGTCGGCATGCCCATCCAGGCTGATGCTGGTGTCTCGTCGTGTTGGGGATGGTTGCGTGCCGTTGTCTTCAGGCTTCGTGTCTGACTTGTCAGAGACGTGGCAGCATGCCAAACGTGTTCAGAAGGCGGTGGCCTGTCCGTTCGATACCAGCTATCCAAATAGTCTCACCTAGCGCCGGACGGTTTGCGAACGCGGTCCCAGGCTGAGGCGGCGACGAGATCGTTATCAGCCACCTGATCCTGGTGCCAAGTCAGCGACGTCGTGTCAGTAGCTTCTCTTCCCCCGGCTGTCGCACTCCATTGGCGGCCATCACGGGTTCTCAGGGTTCTCGGGGAGAGTGAGATCGACGGCATTTGTTCCTTCCTGTCTAAGGCGTTGGCCGGTAGGTCTCTGTCAAAAGGAAAGCTTGGCTTGTGCGCTGCTGGTACGCAATGGACTCGCCCAGATAGGTCATTGCTATTTATTCCCGATGATTGAGGTGAGACGGTTCGGCTAAATACTGTCCGTGGCTCGGGATTGAAACTATTCAAAGCCTCCTGGCATATCTTTTTTCGCTTCAAATATCCGGTTTTCAGTTGGCTTTCGAATGATGTGTGCCGTTGGCTGAATGAATTGAATTGCGCCTCATGACAACGCATTTTACCCAGTTCGACAAACATATTTTAGATAAGTGTGCTCTTTAGCAGAGACTACAAGGATGTTTTTATGCTCATTTGGCAAAAGGGCCATTACAGAATGGAGGCATATTCGGCTTTATAGGATGTGGAATCTTGTACGAAAGCGATAAAAGAGTGCATTGACACCATGATCATACTGAGCCAGCTGCTCATAAGTCGTTGTCGTCACCTTCCAGATTTGATACCGCGATGCTCTTCAGGTGACTCCGAACTTGTAGGGCCGACCAAATTTGTTGCTATAGCTACTGTACGTGGGAGAAACATCCGTTTCTGGGATTTGCCTGCGTGGGAGCGTAGAGACCGCCTTATTTTATCTTCACCTTCCATTCTGTGGGCTTTGGTGAAACAGTTGCTCCCTGGCAGATGAGGACTCCCACTTCCTGAGTTGTGAACATCTGCCATTCGCTTCTAACTTGGAGCACCTGATCTCTCTCATGCAGTTTTCCGCTGTCTCGCAGTCAAATGAAATCAAGTTGGGCCGTGAATTTAATAAGATCGCAAACTTCGAGTGCTACATGGTTCCAAATCTACTCTCAGCCGGTTGTCATTAGACGCTCCGAATGAGGAGTTCCCGCCCTGACTAAAGCGCTCGACTGATTGCGGCGGTGACTTCGGGCCGGATGTAATCGGTGGCGTCGGGCCGCGCGGCCGCCGTCAGCGCGCCGGAGACAGCTGGCGCGTGCTGCTCGTCCCTGCCCTCGGTTCACGCCGTCGCACGTGACCCCTGACCCCTGTCCCCTGTCCCCAGATGCCTGAGGAGCAGGCGTTCTGCGTGCTGGTCCGCATCATGTTCCAGTACGGCCTGCGTGAGCTCTTCAAGGACGGCTTCGCCATCCTGCACCTGCGCTTCTACCAGCTGGACAGACTGCTGGAGGTGGGCCACTTCGGTCGGCGCGCGTTGTTTACGTTCGCCTTATCTGAGCGTCAGATGTAATCGGTTCGTATGTGCTGTCCACACGGACCTTGTGACCGATTTGTAGGTTATTCCTCGCGGGAGACTCACGCCGGGCTGCTGACGCCTGGTGTAGAGTGTGTTGTGACTGGTGACCTCGTCCCCGTGACCGTCGCGCCTCTGGGCCCGGCACGAGCCGTGCCGGCGCTGACGCAGGCCGGCGCACCGACAGGAGCACCTGCCCGAGCTGTGGAGCCACTTCGCCGAGCTGGGCGTCGAGTCGCACATGTTCGCCTCGCAGTGGTTTCTCACGCTCTACACGGCCAAGTTCCCACTGTACTTGGTGTTCAACGTGCTGGACGTCTTCCTCCTGAAGGACATGGACTGGATCTTCCAGGTGGCCATAGCTCTGCTGCAGGTGGGTGCTGACTTGGGCGCGGCCGTGTCCGCAGCTGGTAGGGTGAGCGGGCTAGGCGTTCGCTGTGGTGCAGCACCGGTGCGCCACTCAGGCCACCCCAGCGAGAGCCTTCTGTCAAGCCCTGCTCCCACTGTTGTGGTGCTGGCACACGTTCAGTGGGCACTCCTCGACATGATGCGTTCGTGGACGATGTTTTCAGTCGCGGCATCTGAGCTTTTTTCATCAGGTTTGCGTTGCTGTGCAATGTAAGAATGGCTCCACCGCATCTGCCGTAACTTCTTCCAGAGCTGAGAGTCTTGGCATCAGGTTTGTATGGCTCATGCGCTTTGATAAACAACGTGCGTTCACGTAATCTGTCTGTCCATGAAAGCAGCTGTAGTGTGTCGTGTATCTCCGGCGGCCGGCTGTCCGGTTGGGTGCGCGGGAGGGGCATGCCGCTCCCCATCCTGAGCCTCATCTGGGCCGGCCAGGTGTGCGCGAAGACGAAGGTCCCCATACCCATCCCATGCTCGTGCCCGGCCAGGTGTCCAAGAAGGACCTGCTCGGCCTGGACTTCGAGGGCACACTCAAGTTCTTCCGCGTCTCGCTGCCGAAGCGGTACCGCAACGAGGAGAACGCGCGCCAGCTGGTGAAGACGGCCGTGGCCACCAAGGTCAAGAAGCTGCGGAAGTACGAGAAGGAGTACCTGGCCATCAAAGGTGAGACGGAGGCGCGAAGTGAGCGTGATCTCCGCGCGTCGGCGGCACCTGGCGCTGAACGGGACCGCAGCGTCTCGAGCAGTCGGCGCGCTCGCGTGGGAACTGTGTGTGTGTAACGTGCTGCGCCGGCAGGGGATGTCATCTGGCTTCCCGGGGACGGTCCGGGTCCTACAGAGTAGGCGTGGTGTGGTACTGAAGGAGAGACACTTGTCAGGGCCATGAAGTGGCACAGGAGCTCCCGAAGTTGGCACGGTATGACATCAAGGTGATGCGTATGGATCCTGAGCTAGACGATCGCGCAGCGTTATCGAAGGACGGCGTTCTGTTACAGCCGATGTAAACGCTGAGTCACGCTCGTCATGAGAATGTCCTGCGACAGCCGCGGAAGTGTCTGACCGTCGCGCGGCCGGCCCACAGAGCAGGAGCGGCTGCGGGAGGACCCGGCCGACCGCCTGCAACGCGAGAACCGCAAGCTGCTGGCGGCCAACCTGCGCCTCGAGCACGAGAATGACGACCTGGCCATGGAGCTGGTGGCCAGCAAGATCCAGCTGCGTCGCAACCTGGACGTGGTGAGGTCCACCGCACCTCCGCCCCGCCTTACGGGTCGGCGGAGCGCGAGCGTCGGGGCCTGTGTCAGCCACGTGCTGCGCGGCAGGACCAGTCACGCCTTCCTTGCGATGTGGGTGCCTGGTCAGTCATGTCTGCGGGATGCGTCTGTCCCTTCCCTCCACTCGCCGTCCTCTTTTCGAAATGATCATGGCTAAGAGGAGTGGCTCCTGAGGTGGTCCCGCGTCAGCTGTCTCCGGGGGACGCGACCGAATGACCGGGGGTGCTGCCGCCGCGCCGCGCGCGCCTGACTGACGCGGCGGCGCCCCGGCCCCGGCAGACGGAGGAGCAGTGCGAGAAGATCTCCCGCGAGCTGGTCACCTCGCAGACCCGGCTGGCCGATACGGAGGAGGAGAAGCGACGCCTGCTGGACGAGTCGTGTCAGGTCAGGCGTTTTAGGCGTGTCATGCGCGTCGTGAGCTGCGTCAAGCGTATCAGGTTAGATGTGTCGCCAATCCGCATTGGTGGTATCAGGTATATCACATGGGTCGCTGCAGCCTAGGGCGCTTTATCAGGTATATCACACGGGTCGCTGCAGCCTAGGGCGCGTTATCAGGCCTGTCATGTGTCGCATCAGGTGAGGTCAGGTGTGTCGTAAGGTGTGTCAGACGTATCAAGCAGACGAACCGTGTCGGTCGTGTCAGGCAGTTCATCCGAATCGTGTTAGTCTTGTCGTGTGTGGCGGACGAATCGTGTTGGCTGTGTGTGCCGACCGCCGGCGCCCCAGCTCGGCCGCCGGTGCCCCAGCCCGGCCGCCGGACCGCGTCGGCCCGCCCGCTGGAGGGGCGCTGGGGCCCGCCGGCTGCGGGCGGCAGCGAGGGCGCGCGTGACCCCTCCGGCCGCCGGTGCGCGACAGGTGAAGGAGCTGCTGAAGCGGGAGGTGCAGAAGAGCGAGTCGGAGCTGCAGCGTAACGCCTCCATCATCGACGACTACAAGCAGGTGAGCGATCCGGGCGTGTGAGGAGGCGGTCGGCCCGGCGAGACCGTCTGACGCTGGTGGGACGGCGTTGTATCGTGGGTCACAGAATGGTGCGGTGACGCGTGCGGTGGCGTGGGCTGATGGTGTTTTGCCCTGCTCTCCTCAGATCTGCTCCCAGCTGAGCGCGCGGCTGGAAAAGGAGCAGGCGGCCTCCAACAGCGAGATCCAGTTCATGAAGGTCAGTGTGCACGGGTCGCAGCTCCTCCGAGAGTGGGTGAACAGCGCCACAACCGGCGTCAGTGCCAGGCGACTGCGGCCGGCCGGCGTCCGACCTGACCGACCGGTGCTGGCGAGTCCGCGTGACGGTCGCGGACGTGACGGGGGCGTCGCCGCGGGCCGGCGTGACGCTCGTGATGCGCGGCCGGCAGGGTCTCGTCACCGCCTGTCAGTCGTGCTCGGTCAAGTACGCGTCCGGACGGCCGGTGCAGCACCCGCTGGCCGATCTCTGCGAGGAGGACCCGGTGCGGGCCCGGGACGCGCGCATCCGGGAGCTCGAGCTCGAGCTGGCCCGCACCAAGCTGGCTCAGGTGGAGGTGGAGTGCAAGAACCAGGTGAGTGGGTCCGCGCCGACCCATCGCCACCCGGCCCAGGCCTGGTGTTCGGGTTGTGGAGCCTCCGAGTCCACAAACATTTGATGGGTGTGGCGTGCACGGCCGGCTGCGTCGACTTTTGCCGCTGTGACCGGTATGCTGTATGGGAGCGCTGAAGGCCGTATGTGAGTCGTGTTTGTCGTGAATGTGATGGGTGTTCGTCGCAATGTGGCTATTATATCGTTGGCATATTTTCTTAAATTTTGGGTATTGTAAGTATTTGCATTCGTATTATTACTCCTCGCTATTAAAAGGGCAAACATCCGCCAGATTACACATTCGCTTGATCGGCGGTCGGCCAATACGGCATAAAATGTGTATAAACGGCAGTCTTGAGGTAACGTATCTACCGCTGCTCAGTGATGCGGGCTGTGTACCGATGACAGGTGAGGGAAATGCCGCGGACCAGCCGCGGACCGTTTTTTCTTCTTCGTGCTGGCCTTCCGCCAGGTCTATCAGTGGCCATCCCATAATTGAAAGGGTGACATTTATTGCCGCTGTTTGGTCCCATGTTCTGACGGACGAGTAGGGCATGTACTACTCTCTGTGCGACTCACAAGGTTAGGTGTACGCCGAGCATCGTGCGGAGCTATCGCCGGACTCTTCTGTTCTCTCCGCTCTGGGCGGAGTTATTGTCGGGCCGGGGCGGACAGCACTCGCCTCCCGTGCGGCGGACGGCACTCGCCTCCCTGGCGGCGGACGGGACTCGCCTCCCGTGCGGCGGACGGCACTCGCCTCCCGTGCGGCGGACGGCACTCGCTTCCCGTACGGCGGACGGCACTCGCCCCCCGTGCGGCGGACGACACTCGCCTCCCGTGCGGTGGACGGCACTCGCCTCCCGGGCGGAGGGCACTCACCTCCCGTGCGGACGGCACTCACCTCCCGTGCGAACGGCACTCACCTCCCGTGCGGCGGACGGCACTCGCTTCCCGTGCGGCGGACAGCACTCGCATCTCGTGCGGACGGCACTCACCTCTCGTGCGGACGGCACTCGCATCTCGTGCGGACGGCACTCACCTCCCGTGCATACGGGACTCACCTCCCGTGCGGACGGCACTCACCTCCCGTGCGGGCGACCGCGGAGGATCAGCACCCGGCATGCCTATCCTAGCACCGCCGCGGTCCAGCCAGGCGCCCCCAGTTCAGTCGACACTGTCGGGAGACTCGAGCCGCAGCTCGAAGCTCAGCAGCTGGCAGCTGCGGCACGTAAAGCCCGGCTATGGTGAGCTTGCGCAGCTCCATGGCACTACGGCGTAACGGTGCCGAGATACTCTCGTCTAAATAACAACCACGTCCGCAGTGCGTGGCCGCGAGACGGCTTACCAACACACACGCACGCAGCGCAGGACCGCGTGAGTAGGTTGTTTGTTCTGCGAGTCCGTGCTGGATCCCCCCCCCCCCCCCCCCCTCCCTCTGTACTGCCCCGACCGGGCGCACTGCGTGCTCTGGTGATAGCGGTTTCCACAAGGCCGGTGACTGGTCGGTTCGGGCCTCCAGGGCTCGGGACAGTTGGTCCAAAGGAGCGTTCAATAGATCCGGCAGATATCTTGGGCGCGTGGGCAGATATAGAACAGCAGACGGGCTCATTTTCATCTCCTTAATCATGACGTCACGCTTAAGCCGTGCTGATGAAGCGGTATTGGTTTAAAACCCGGCAACATATGTCAACGTCACAAGCGCTTTATTTGGCAAAATCAGTGTCCGCCAAACTTTGGCATGTTAGCGCGCATACCACGTGATCTGGCGGCGCCTGTCTGCGACGTAGGCGTCCCTTTCGTGTGTGTGTGCGAGTCCGCTCACGTGCGCCCCATCACCTGAGCGAGACGAGGACTGGCTTGCCCTGTGCGGGGCCGACTCGGCACGAACGACCTGTCTGCCACGCGCCGGTCCCAGCCGGACCCGGTGCCCGGCCTTCCGGTGGAGGCAGCGGCCGCCGGCTTGCGGTGTCGGGCCGGGGCTGCAGACGCTGGTCGGCGCGCGGGCGAGTGGCTCTCTCGGCGCCGGCGGGGGACCGCGCATGGCTCCGGTCCACGCCGCCTGGCTGCGCCGAGGCGGGGCACTTGACCAGGAGGCGGCGGCGGCGTGGCCTCGACGGTCGGCGGGCTGTGAGGCGTCGCGTCTGCGGCAGTCGGCGCGGCGGACGGCGCAGACGGCGTGCGCATGCGCTCTCGAGGTGGTGTGGCAGCGCTGCCAGGCGGAGCTGGTGGTCACCGAACCCTTCCCTGCGGCGGCGGCCGTCGAAACGGCGGCGTCGTCTGTAGCAGGGCTCAAAGAGAAGGATTCAGTCTTGGGGGCGACCAGTGGACGACGCTGGAATAGTTTTACTATTTGCTATTTTCAGGATTGCGTCAAATACCAAAGCTGCATCGAATGGGCTCGACCCCTTTCCGTCATACTAAACATGGCGTCACATTACATCTAATCACGTTCTAGAGCACAGCCGTTTCACGTAACACCCGTCATCCAAAAGTTAGCCTTTTTCTCCTCTCTGTGTCATCACCGTTACATGTCAGCTGTGACGTTTAACCTAACTCATTGTTTGCTTTTTTGTAGCTGAGGAATAAGACAGCTTTGGGCTCTAAGAACTACATGGTCGTGAATATCCGCGTGCTTTACGATCCGACTATCTCAGTTTAAAACGTATTGTAAATATGTAAGCTCTCTTAAAGGTGACGCTATGTAGCGCGAATTTCCTGTTTGTGCTGTTGGCACGTGCTCCTTACATCACTCGCGGGCACAGAGCCTGTATCAGACCAATGACCTGGCATTTCTTCTAAAAGGTCATCGACACATTCATTCTGAAGCCGGTAGGGCACGTGTTGGTGCGCGACACATGCGTTACATGCTGCTGGATTAAGTCTGCGCCTAGGATAAAGGCATCGCCCCAGGCGATGTGGACGTGCTGTGCGGCGAGGGGAGGGAATTGGTCGGATCGTTTGGCTGCTCTATTCGCTTTTGCTGTTTCATGTCACCGGGACTTTACAGACAAACGCAATCTGTGCTGGCCTGTGGGTGCCTGCATAATTTGGAATAGGCCCCGGTCTGGATCGCCCGGCCGGAGGCCGTGTTAAGGCGCAATAGCGGGTATTAAAGGCAGCGAGGTTTCCAAGTTCTGCACGGATAAGCTTGGAGCAAGGGATTTCACGTAGGGTAACTTAGGAGCATAAGTACTCATTTCTCCTTACACATTACTTTATCTTCGGCTTCGATGTCATGCGAATGCACATAAAATTCCACAACGGTATCACTGAGTAATCTATCACTAATAACGGTATCACAATGATATCACTGATTAATCTCTCCCCGATCAGGACGTGACTATTTCTGTGTCTCTCCCTGCTCGAGTCTTAATCCCTGAATAACTCAGCAGGCGGGGATTGCTCGTCGCTGCAGGTGAAGTGGTCTGACCTCAACGCCCGATCAGGCCCGCTGGTACCCAGTCACCACCACCCCGACCAATCCGAAGGCCGGCCAATCTGGGCCTGGGTCAGACAGCGACGATCGGTACGAGATACTCCAGCGCCGCGAGTGGTGCCGACGCGTGGACGGCGGCGGCCGCTGCGGCGCGAGATAGGCCGCGTCACGGAGAGCCGGCGGCTGCGGCCGGCCGATGGCCGCACGGCGGCGTCAGCGCGGCCGCGGCCCGGCGCACACTGGTGCCGGGCGCGATCGGAGGTGGCCAAAATGTCGAGGCACGTATGACAGCTAAAATTTGGTGGTCATAGCTTCAAGTTTGGTATCCAAGCATGTAGTACGCACAAAATGGTGCATGGTGCGACTCCTTGAGTGTCAAATGCAGCCATAAAAAGCCAATGTTATGTCACATGTCGTATGTGGCGCGTAATGTCTGTTGACACACCACTCAATGCGGTCATTAGTGACCAAAGCAGCGTGTGCTATCAGTGCTGTGCTCAAAAATACTCCGTCGCACCGTGTTGGCGGCATTTGTCGAGACGCTATGAGAGGACACCGTGACAAAAAAAACAAGACACATGAGCTTTTGAAATCAATCCACGCTAAGTACAGTCGGGGGTAGTCAAAACTGGAAGCGTATGCAAGCCGTACGTACAAGAATAACACTATAACAGCTTTCTTATGGGGACTTAGCAGGAGCCGACTTGATGTTGAGTGCCCTGGAGCTCGGTCGTAGGCAGGAGTAGAGCGTGGACAGGATGACGGGGGATCTCCGCTGAGGCTGCGAGTCCACGGCCGCCACTTGACTCCGTCGGCTGATGTCTCGCGCGGTGGCTGGCGCCATGTGTGCGCCGTTTGACGTTCGGTGCCCTGGCCGTCGGCTGCTCCGCAAGAGCGGCGGGATGCCGGGACGGCGCCGGCTCGGAGCCCGGCCGACCCGTGAGCGGCGGCGGGGCCGGGATTGATCGTCAGCGGGGTGGCGGCACGCTGACGCCGTAATGACAGCCGGCCGACCGCCGCCGGTCGGTGGCCAGCGGGCCGCGGTAATGAGCCGGGCGCGGGCACGGGGCCGTGGCCGGCGTCGGGCCGCGCCCGACCGTCGGGCGGCCACGGCCGTCCCCTCCCCGCCACTGTCAGGCTGGCAGGTGTCGGTGGCGTCGAACCGCTCCGCACGCTCGCGACATCGACTTTCCGACTTTCCGGGCGCGGACAACTCCATAGCTGATGCTGTCAGCAAAACCGCTGCTTGTTTGCAATGTTTGTGCCCCTTACAACGTCCAGCGACTGAAGTCCACGGCTATGGAGTCTTACGTGTACCGATTAATGGGTAATGCAAAACTATCTGCAAATATGAAAGCTTTTGAGATGTGGTAGCCGTGGCGTAAGAAAACGTGTTAGCGGAATTGATGTTAATGCTGTTAATGGTGGATTGCTAGATGCCTGATTATATGTGTGCCCTATTCGCGTTGATAGTGGTCTTAATGGAGTCCATTTGAGGTCCCGGAGGACCGCGCACTGCGGCCGTTCCCGTTCCGGCAGTGCGGACCGTCGGACAGCCGATACTAACGCCCCGACGCGGCCTGGCCGGCAGGACCTGACGCACCAGATGCACGCGGCGCTGGCCGAGCTGCAGGCCTCCAAGAACACCTGGTTCCACAAGACGCTCTCCTCCATCAAGGAGGCCACCAAGAAGGAGAGCGGCTAGGCCGGCCGCGCGGCTGTGATCGTGCTCGCCCACGAGCTGCCGAACAAACGCCACGGGCGCCCGATGGCTGTGGGAGGCGGACAGGGCGGCGTCGGGCCGCGGCGCGTAGGCAGGCCGCTGCCCAGAGCTCCCCCCCCCCCCCTCCCCCCCCCGTGCCGCTGCCATGCATCGCTCGCACGCCACCTTGGTGCGGGGGCGCCGCGCCCGACCGCGGGCGGCCGGCTGTGCCGACTCTCGGGTCCGGCTGCGGGGTCGGGCCTGACTGGAGTTTGACGCGACGGGCCTCCGCTGGCCACGTCCGTGTCGACCGGCACCGCCGCGCTGGCTCGACGCGCGCCTGCCCGTGCTGCCAGGTCTGACATTCCCAGCATTATCCGTGCCACAAATGTGTATGAGAAGCGGTTTATTGAATATTTTTATATTAACGGTATCCTACGTTTTGTTGAGTACATCATTATATACGTGTTTTTATTGAGTGACTGCACGCTTCAGTCGTCGCTAAAGTGAGAGCATTAAGCAATGTCATGCAGGTGGGACGTTTCTGCCTCCCTGTGTCCATGCGTAGGCGGCAACCCGGGTCGATGCACCACTGGTTGTGTTGCCGTTGTGTTGAACCCTTCGGCTGCGCTGCTGCGCTCCAGCCGCTTACCAAGGGCGTCCGTACTTATTTGTCTCTTCCCTTCTCCCCCGACGGCTTCAGCGAGTGGCGATACACATGTAGGTAACCGTTGCTATCCAGTGTAAGTACCGTCAAATACACTGTAGTCTTACCCGGCCGCTTGTGTTTGCGATGGCTGGATGCCAGGCGCCGGCGTGAGCGCGCGTCATCCGCACAGAACGCCGTGTGGGAGACGGCCGCCTGCTGTTCGGTCACTCGCCCCGTCGCTGGGTCGGAGGCGCGGGGTCGACCGGCCGTTTGTCTGGCTCGTGGACCAGCGCCCGCGAGAGATCGGTGTGTCGCGACGGATGGAGCCAGGCCATGCTCAAAGCCTCGCGTCTGTCCTCGACGTGTCGGATGGAAATCCACGGCTTAGATCAAATAAGTTCGACTGCGACAGTCCTGTTGACCTTGGCACCGATAATACGGAGTCGTGCCCCTGTCATCGGTGTCACCTGCCCCGCTGTCAGCGCAGTACTCTTCTCATATTGTCGTGTCTGCGTGGCGGTCAGCGGCCCTGGCACCTTGCTCGACTGGTGGCGGCGCTCCAGTGTCGTGCGGCGATCATTTGTACTGTGATATAGCGCACCCGCGCCACGCCGTGGCTGGCTTCGTTTTTCTTCGGTGTACGTTGTTAAACGCGTCCATACGTTATTTACAGTAATTACGTTTTCGATGTAATACAGTAGTCATCAGTTTCTGCTCAAGCTGTTCGGTGGCGTGACCACGGGCAGTGAGGACGATACCCCTCACTGGGGAGGGGTCCCGGCGGAGACTGCTGCTGAAAGCGGGGAAACCCGTCCTACCTTTTGCAGGAAACTTGATGTATCGAGAAATTCCCCCAGTGTGGCCAGTCCGCAATGATGCCGTCAAATTACGACCAGCCCTTGGTCAACCGCTCGGCACTTGCAGTGCGCTCCGCGGGATACCGGCGGCGCGGTGAAGTACCAACAATGGGTTTATATAAACCGCATCATGTTAGCATTTCACCAAACCACGGAAATTTATTGAGGAGCTGAACATAGCAGTCGTAACTCCGCGAAGTATTTGATCGCAAAACGCTAAGCGCGTGCTTGAAGGGAGACGCTAGCTTTTTGTACTTTTCACTTAAGCTAGATCAGACGCCTACGGTTTTGTTATTGATACCAGTTTCCTCGAAATCCTTTTGAAAAGCGCATAATTTCTATTTAAAGTAGCTGACGCTGCGGGAGAAATATCATGAATTCCCTGCCCACCACTGAAAGCTATATGCATCATTTGCTTTGCTTTTTCTAACATGTGTCGTCTGTACTGTTTCCAGCCATGGGTGTCGATTTGTAATCTTTTGGGTGGACTTCTGTCCCCCCCCCCCCCGCTTCCTTAATGTCCGATTTGCTCCCCAACGGTGAGTTTGCCCCCCCCCCCCAACCTTCTAGAGTCAAGATGCAAGCAGGGGTGTACGGACGGGGAATATCAAAATTATATCAATTTTAAAGAGGGTTTCTAATAATTCTTTCACAGGTACAAACAAAGAAAATGAAAGCTACGTTGTCATGTTCAGTTGAATGCGGCTGACTGAGCTAATCATATTGTAAAAGCTTTGTTTTGCATGGTGGTAACTTGAGTATTTCCAGTTTTCTCTTGCATTATGCATGTTTTTAAGTGCGGATTGATTTGTCTTGTTGGCTCTGATATCGTTTTGTGCTGTTATCTGGGTGTTTGGGTATTATTCATTGATGTTTAAACATTCACATGTTGCGGCAAGTTGCGTTCTTTTGTCACGATGCGATGCGATGTCTCGTCAGAAATTGAAAACAAACCTGTCAAATCTTGGCACCCAGAAACGTGAAGAAATTTTTATCCGGCAACGTTCGAAAGAACCCTTGAAATGTGCCAACCGCCAATTCGACATGAGTATTCGATGGAACAGTTATGGTAAGTTGACGATCGACATCAGTCGAGTAAACTGGCAGTGACAGTCGTCTGGCGATGACCGCCAAAGCAGCATTAACCGTGTGGAACGTGTCTAACTCGAGTGCTGTGTTGCAGTCTGCAGCCCGCCTTACGGCTGGAGGTTTACGATCGCCTACAGCCGGAGGTTTGCGTGGCAGCTTTTGCTAGTGGCGCACATCAACTTACGCCTTCACTCCCAAAGCCGTACACGTTCAAAAACGTCTGAAGCCAGATAACATTGCCCTACGTCGATTACCTAAGCATGGTTTCGACGATCGACGCCAAGCAAAAGGACAATGATGTCCAGCGACGACATCTTTCACCGAGGCAGAGGAAAGGGAACGTTTTAGAACAGTGCTGTAGTTTCCTACTCAATTAGATGGAAATAAAACTTCCTTACTTTGAGAGAAAATTGGGTCGAATAGGGAAGAAATCTATTTTTAGCGCAGTTCAGATTGGGGTTTCCCCGCTCAGACTCCCTGCGGTCGAGGCCTAACGACCGTGACACGTGACGGATTCGCGGCTAGATTACTCCTTTGTGGGGTCTAGGATTCAGGGCTCATTTCCCAGGCAGGGACAAGACCGAGACGCACGATTTACATCGGTCGGGGCCCCCTGAGACAATGAAGGGCCGCTATATCGATCTGGGGACCACAGTGCATAACAAGGGTCATGTATGGCAAGGAGCCTAGAATCAGCCTGGGCAGTGTGCGTGTCGGTGAGGGGCTCCGATCCGGCCAGGGTGACATTTGCCGAACAGGGATAGGGATTGGCCCCATGACGTTAGAGGGCCTCTTGCGTCGGGTACCTCTGGAAATGAAATTTGATAAGATTATGTACGATGAGAGTCCGCCATAAGACCTTGGAAGGTCGGGTCCGTGTTTCAGTAAGTCAGGGGTTTCATTGCAGAGCTGGGAGCTCTCTATCCCATTTTTGCCAGAGGCCCGTTATGCTGAACTGGAGTCTCTGTGCCAGTCATTGGATACTTGCGTCGATAGGGGATATGTTTTGCGTTAATGAGAGCCCCTGCGTCGACCCAGTCCCAAAGTTGCGGGTCATGGGCCTCTAGTGTCAGGCAGACCGCCAATGCACATGTAGTTTCACCACAAAGCCCCATACAGGTCCAAACACACAGCTCCTGTTTCGCCAGAAACGCAGCCGGTAGACACCCCGGGCGGGGACGGAGCGACCCTTCAAGCCCCTGACTGAGATACATAGTTTTCCCCCAGTGTTCTACCCACCGGGCCGCTTGCTCGGAAAAAGATGAGAGGCTGCTTGGCGTTGAATAGGGCGAATCAAAATGCGGTCAAAATAAGAAAAAGATCAGCCCAAACGAGGACGTCCATTCGGGGTGTCACACTGTGTGCTTTCGGAATGCTTGAGTCTCCCGTAATGCTGACTTAAATGGAATGTCCCACATTTGAAGATGTTGAAACAACCATCAGATGTGATGAAACCAGCTAGCTTTTAAATATTGGTGCATGTTTAAGAGGAAAACATTGCTCTAGATGCGAAAAATTATCAATACGTCATCGTTTGATTGCGTCATGGAACGTTTGTATGACGTTGAGGTGCCGCCAAGCTAGCCGTGCGAAATCGTCACTCTAGCACTCACATGCAGTGCTTTCACCTGCCGAAAGATGACGGTGACGGTGCTGGAAGTGTTCGCCGAGCAAAATATCGTTATGTGCTCGCTTTTTTGGCCGTTGCTCGCGGTGTTTTTGCACATTTTTCCGTGCGTTTTGGAAGTTACCTTGTATTCGTACGCTCGGTTATGGCGCTATTATTAAGTTGTTCCATCATAAGTCTCATCTCCGCAATAACTACCAACCATGTCCAGTCTCTTATACCACGTGGCGCGAAACGTGATTCGCGATTGAAACTTGCACGGGTCGCTCAATATTCAATGAGAACCAATTGACGTTCATTCGAAGTGGGAATCGCGCTGACGGGCGCCAGATCTGAATGGTTCAACGCAAATACTCTTCTTGGCCTCGAACGTCGCGTGGCCTTTGCCGTGGCGGGATTTGAATGACGAATGGCTAATTGACCTGGAAATAGCCAGCACGAAGTGGTCACACATGTTTCCGAGCGTTAAGCTAAGAAACTAGACGGCTTTAGGTCTTAAGAAGGACATGACTGTGAACTGCACCGAATGATCTTCAAAATGACTGTCTCATTTCAAAACCCCATACAAATGTGGAACATCTTTTAATCCGCTTCAATGCTCTTCTAAACCCCCGCCCCCAATGCATATGAGCGTGAAGTGAAACACCAGGCCAATAAAATGCAGCTAGTGTCGGAATTGCGGTTCCTAAGCCCCCCACGATATATATATATATATATATATATATATATACATATATATATATATATATATATATATATATATATATATATAGATATATATATATATATATATAGATATATCATTTTCTTCATGTATGATCACTGTCACTGTCACATCGGGTTCAAAAAGCAAGTAGTTCCTCAACATTAAAATAATTTTGTGGTCGACCAGTATTTGCTTTTTTAAGTTTAGTTTTGGCATCAAGGACGTAGATCAAAGTAACGGGATCCGGGAAGTAATCAGGATTTGAGAGCATGCTAGGTCAACTTTATTGGCTCATCCTCTCACAACCGATTTTGGAAAGTAACACTTCTGCGTTCGTCCTTGTTCCGGAGAACTATGTGAAAAAAATTACTCTAAAAAAAAATTTGCGCCTACATGCCCGCAATATTAGAAGCAAGGGACCTATGACCGGGGTTGTAGTTTCCATCAAAGTGAGCGGCGTTGGCGGCCCAACATCGCGCGGCGGGCGTCTGACGCACGAGACCATCCGTCCTAAAATAATATCTCCGAAAGTCTTTCAAAACCGATACGCACGGTTAAAAAATCAGACAGGGGAGTAAACTTCACATACGCAATTTTGAAGATGTCCCCTGAACAGATAAAAAGCCCCAGCAACAAGAAAAGAGTGATTTTATGTTTGCTTGTCTAGTCCCAACGCCAAATTCCGGCACCGATTCGCAGTGCTGCCAGTCCTGATCCGTTCCTATACATATATATATATATATATATATATATATATATATATATATAAATGTCCTTACAGCTTTTGGTCCTGGTTCCTCTTCAAGAAGGCCCACAACCTACTACTTCACATTATGGTCATGGGTCGTATAT